ACACACACACACACACAAGAAAGAGAAGATCCAATTATGAGACATGAGGAAAGCAGAAAAATAACAGATAACTTGAAGGATTTAACAGGGAAACTGGACACAAAAGCTCTTACCAGCAGCCAAAGATACCAGAAATAAGATGAGATGGTGCTGAGCACTTGCACTATGGCTGTAAGCAGGATGACGTCCTTCAGGTGCCTAAAACCAGAACACACAGACAATAAATTAACAATGAATACATGTTTCTGTGCACACAGAAGAAAGAACGTATGTAAATATTAAACCTACTACAAGGAGTTTTTAACTGGCAATGAAAACAGTCTCAATGTATACGTGATCTCTATATGACCTAAATAAACACACAACCATCAGTGAGATGAGCTATTTCTATATAATTATTCCTAATGCCTGCCACTGGGTCGGACTCAGTCGGATTTCACTTGAAATCAATGAAAGGAGGCAGTGGAAACACTACGGCTTTTGTCCTCAGGGGCCCGCCAGAATCAACACAAAATTAAAGTTCCTTGTTGCTGCTTTAAGCAAGAAAAATATATAATTAAAATGGTCGTTGTGTCTTTAATAAGTCCAACAGAAAAAAATCTAAAATGGGCAAGAAGTTTTATATAATCAAAACACAAACCCTACTGAACTTTACATTTAGTTTCTTTAACAGAGAAGTGAGACTAATATACTGTAATGCTGTATTGGCATCTCTAACCACAAATTGGATTAATACAGAACAGTAAGATTAAAATATAGTTTTATTCATGAAAAAAATCTAATCGTGTCTCAGGAAGTCCTTCAATGCCTTAACTGATGTTAAAGTCAAACATTGTCAACTACAAAGTAGTATAACGTTTTTACACAGTGGAGGAGGCCGAGCAGTCTCAGGCAGTCAGCCTTGAGTCTGCGAAGCTTCCTGTCCCCAAGACGCTCCATCAATTAGAGGGTTAGGACAGACAGAATGTAGCCTGATAGGTGAAACCCAGGACAAAAAAAAAGTCCACCAAGAACTCGCCACAGCTCAGAAGGCATATCATTACCAGGAAAGCAAAGTAACGTTTGAAGGGGACCGTAATAATACATCTACTTTATGCACACTGGTTTCTCTGCCAAAGAATGGATCATAAGCTATTTTGCATCTCTTCAGCATCCAGAAATATCCTGATACCTGATGCCTTATTTTTAAGCAATGTCACACTTGCTTGGTTAGTTAACACATCTGAATATAAAACCATGTGCAAAACAGTATTTCCAAGCTCACGTTGTTTTTACAGTGCATGCAGACTAAAGATGGAGTTTCTCTTCCCACTATATTTGAATCCTATTTGTATTTTGAGGATTACTTACTCTGCCATTCCCTGCTCCATATTTAAGTCTATTCCTCCGTCCAGTAGACCGCCATCCTCAGCAAACACTGGCTTTGCCATGGCAGACATGGAGCGGTAACTCCCGACATACACTGCTAGTGCAAACATGAGCAGCAGCTACAGGAGGAACACAAGGTTTAAGAGTGGTGTTAGGAGAAATTACATTACATTTGTGGATATTAAGGTTTTATTTCATCTTAAATTAAAAACACTCACCCATGTCCAAAATGTAGACGAACTGTAGAAAACCAAAAGATTTACGGCAGCATATATCGCCTGTGGAGGAAGAGCAGTCGATTAATCCATAAAAGAAAATTAATCTGCAACTATTCCAGCTTCTCAAATGTGAGGATTTGCTGTTTATATGACTATAAATTGAATCAAAACACTGTGGCCTCTTCTTCTTCTACAGTTCACAGACTAAACAATTACTTGTTTAATTAGAGAAAATACACAGAAGATTACTTGATATTGAAAATTACTGTTAGTTGCAGTCCTACAGTATTATTCATCAAATATTTTTCTATACAATTTATGCCAAAGTATCAATATCTCTGATAATATTAGGCAATTTCAGGTACTGAACAGGACTGCATTATGGACTGTATTTTTGGCATCAATGTGACAAAGTACTTTAATTTGTCAGGTATTTATTTCACTCTAATAGCTAGAAACAGATCGTATAAAAGACATATTTATAGGTATCACAATATGACATACTGTAAAAGAGACTGTATCAATACTGACAGCGTAACGAACAAGCCTTTATCCAAATAACACAAAAACAGCAGTGAAGTTCCTACATTCGCTCCCAGGATGACTCTTGTGTAGAACTTCAGCGTCGCCTCGTTCTCCTCGTAGATCTGCTTCTTTCCCTTTGTGCCCACTTTCCCTTTGGGCTGTTGGGAAAACACAGAGAGAAGTTTGAGCAATATCTGCCTGTTTTTTTAAACATATCAAACAATAAGTGCATTTTGAGTAAATGAGAGGTGTAAAACAGGCTTTTCAGACATGCCTTTTTTTAATAAATGGTACTTGGACCGGCTGCCAGCTTTCTGAAGGCAGTGAATGTAACTCGATATCTGACATTCGTCTCACCGTTTCTGCTCAATAACAGTAACTGAGACTTCTCTTTACTTTCCAC